GGCAAGTTTGCTGATGACACAAAACTGGGAGGAGTGGCTGACACACCAGAAGGCTGTGCTGCCATTCAGCGGGACCTGGAGAGGCTGGAGAGTTGGGTGGAGAGGAACCTCCTGAAGTTCAACATAGGCAAGCGCAGGGTCCTGCCCCTGGGGAGGAGTAACCCCAGGCACCAGTACAGGCTGGGGGTTGACCTGCTGGGAAGCAGCTCTGCAGAGAAGGACCTGGGAGTCCTGGGGAGCAACAAGTTCAGCATGAGGCAGCAATGTGCCCTTGTGGCCAAGAAGGCCAAGGGTATCCTGGGGTGCATCAGGCAGAGTGTTGCCAGCAGGTGGAGGGAGGTGATCCTCGCCCTCTCCTCAGCCCTGGTGAGGCCCCACCTGGAGTACTGTGACCTATTCTGGGCTCCCCAGTACAAGAAGAAATGGAGCTCCTGGAGCAAGTTCAGGGAAGGGCTACTAAGATGAGGGAGGAGTCTCCTGCTAAAAAACTGGAGCATCTCTCCTCTGAAGAAAGGCTGCGAGAGCTGGGCCTGTCGAATCTGGAGAAGAGAAGACTCAGGGCGGATCTTATCAATGTGTATAAATACCTGAATGGAAGGTGAAAAGAAGACTCTTCTCGGTGGTGCCTGCTAACAGGACAAGAGGCAATGGGCTCAAACTGGACCACAGGAAGTTCAGTTTGAATGTTAGAGAGAGGAGGGGAAAAAAAAAAAAAATCTATACTGACTAAGCACTAGGGCTGCCCAGAGAGGTTGTGGAGTCTCTGTCCTTGAAGATATTCAAAAGCTGTCTGGATAGGGACTTGGGCAATGGGCTTTAGGTGACCCTGCCTAAGCAGGGTTGGGGGAGGATTTGGACTAGACGATCTCCAGAGGTCCCTTCCAACCTCAACCATTCTGTGATTTTTGTGATTCTGTAGTGTTGTATATATAGCATTCAAATGCTTTTTCACTATACAGCTGGTGGGCTCCCCTCCTGCCTATCTAGTTCTGAAATTGTTTTTAAAGTAGAGTTCTATTATCTTTATATTAAAACAATGATATTGGCAAGTAATTGGAAAGTGCTTCCTCACATGTAGTCATTAGAAACATGAAATACTCCTGTGAAATGAAAGATATATAAAGATTTTCTTGATACATTGTGAAGGCTGTACTTCATAAGCAGCAACTTCATGCTATGGAGACTGCTATATGGTTAGAGGACTTCTAAAATTCTTTTAAAAATATTTTTCCTGCAGAATCTGAAGGAATCTGAACTAAATCTGTGTACAGGTCTTAACAGTGTGTTTTCTGTTCCCCTTCTCAGCCTATTCCTCGCCTTTTTTTTGCGGGAGAACATACAATTCGCAACTATCCTGCGACTGTTCATGGTGCTTTACTGAGTGGACTGAGAGAAGCAGGTCGCATTGCAGACCAGTTTCTTGGGGCCATGTATACTTTGCCTCGCCAGCCTACACCTGGGGTCCCCACACAGCAAGCTGCCAGCATATAGGAGCAGTAGAAGGTACCAGAAGAGGAGTGACGAAACCACAGCGCTGCTGTTGTGAATTTTTTCTCGGGATGAAGATATTTTTGTGGTCTGTAACAGTGTCTGCTGAAAGGACTCAGCCTTGAGTTGGTGTGTAATACTTCTGTTAGAATGGCCTTACAGAAATTTACCTGACCTTTGTCTTGGCATCCTTTTTTATTAAATCTCTTATAACTGTTTGAAGCATCAATGTACACAGAAGTCTTTACTGCCAAATTGGTCAGGGACTCTTTTGGCTCTGCATACGTTTCTTGAAAGTCAAGCTTACAGCGGGAATTTTTTAGGTTTTTTTCTCTACCTATTTATATATTTACAGTTTGGTAATTGCACAAAAGGTTCCTCTAGAAGCTGGTGGCTACTCATAGTAGCTTACTGTAAAACTTATGCAAACTTGCTTGTTGTTTAAAAATTATTATTTGTCAGCCAAGTTCTGCTCAGTCTTATCTGTCATTTGAAAATTTGTTGCAACTGTCTCCCTGCCAGTAAGAGCAAATCACAGTGTCCATTGACTGCTACACCATATGCATCCTGCTTTAGAAAGAAGGTTGGTATTCCGAAGAGTGTGCTAAGCATACTGTTTTATTAAATACTTTCAACAAAGGAAGCTGTCACAACTGGATATTTGCAAGATAAAAACTAGAAATATTATTCATATTTCTTTGTATAGAAACAATGTTGCCTAGACAGTAAGCTAGCTAAAGGACCTAATCTCTTGACTCCTTGGGTTCTGTTGTTTTGTTTTGTTTTCTTCCAAAGCTTGGAGGACTGTGTTTCATTTTTCCTGAGTAGGTGAGAAGATCTTACAAGTCCCATCGTTACACTTCCAAAAGTCACTTTGGTTTGGCTGCTTTCCCAAATATTTTCCTTCTTATTGACTGGGCATGGCTGCCTTCTAGCACACAGAGCAATCCCATCCTATTTAAACATTTAGGTGGTTCTTCCTGCTCCTTCCTTTGTTGGTTAGCATTAGACTTTTCTTATTGTTTCCAAATTTCCCCATTCCCTCCCTCTGCAGCTTTTTTCCTCTTTCTTACCCATGTCCTTTGTTCATGGCCAATTTCTTTGTACTTAATATTTCTTTTTTAGTTTTACTGTGCTCACTCTCTCTGAGCCTGGTTTTGTTGTATGTGCAGTCTGTCCCAACTTCCTTATGCCCTTGTACCTTCTGTTCTACTACAGGACTGGTACCTCTCTTGTTTCCTGCTCCTCCCTCTAATTACATTGCCCACATTACTTCCTCATGAAAATATATGCACACCTGACTGCAGCCCTAGTTGTTTATTGCTGTATCATCTTTGGCTGCAGACCCTCCATCTTCTAGCATCATTTCCCCTACTGTAGCTGGGGAACCTTCTCCCTCCTGACAGTGTCTGTCTCCTGGTTTCTCTCCTTACATGTTGAAATCACTTAGGGGGCTTCCCCTAAAGAAATCCTTCTGACAAGCAATGTTGTGGTAGCAGGGGATGCTGAAAGCATTCTTTCCTCTGATCCATCAGAACATGGATAACCTTCTGCCAAAAGACCTTTCGCCCTCTCTTAAATCTCAAGCTAAGCTGGCCTCGAATGCCCAATTATCTTATATCCCTCGAGCTCTCTAGAAGGCTCTAGAACTACAAGCTGTTGAGCTTACTAACTTCATGTGTTACCTGGTAAATATGTTACAGAGATTTTTTTGAGGAACCTCTTCCTAGAATAGCTGGGGGGTCCCTAAATGTAGGCACGAGGTGTCTAGTGCTAAGCTCATTTGAAGTGCTTTGATTTGATGCCAAGGGAGGATCCTCTGTCCCCTAAAATAATGCTATCTCTGTCTAAAATAATGCTGTCCTCACTGTATCTCTAACTTCGCAAATTTTGTTGCCTCTTGGACCCTTTCAAGAAAGGGGTACTCCTCAGCTACACTATTCATCCTCTCCTCTTCTTCAAGAGGTAAGACTGACCTTGTGATACTTGGTCAGGAAATTGCCAGTAAGGTGGAGCAGGAATTGGAAGTCCAGCAGAGCAAGGAGGAAGGTTGTCCAAAGGATGACTGAGAAGCTTAGACTCAAGGCTCCCTGGAGTCTGTTGGGGTAAAAGGCTATCTGCAGCACTTCCCAGAGAAAGCTTATTCCAGGACAAAAGGGTAACAAGCCTTTGTAATCCCTCCACAACTGATCTATTCTCTTGGCTCGGAAAGTCTGACCGAAGATGAGGAAAAGATTTGGGAACTGGGGTGTCACCACCTTTCTTCCGGCTTTCTGCCTCTAAGGGTGTCTCCATATTTGTAGAGTGGTTTGCTATTAGGATTAGTGACCCTGGCCATGAGTACTCCCATCTTATGTGCTCTAGCAAAGTGTCTAAATTGTGATGGCTGAAAATCAGGATTTATAAAACAGGACTCTGTGGTATCCAGATGCGCTCCTTCTGTATAAAAGGGTTGTTGCAACACTGAGGTATTGGGTGTTTTTTAAAAAAAAAAAAAAAAAAAAAAAAAAAGGCAAGCCCAGCTGACGGGTAGAATAGAGGGACAGAGTGGCAAATCTTCTCTCTCAGAGTTGATAAATCAAAGTTCTGAGAGCTGCTGAGATTTTGGTGAGTGTACCTGCTCCAGCACTGTCCAGTTATGAACTGGTATTCAACATTGAGAAAAATGTTTGCATCAGGAGTTGCTTGCTGTGCTCACTGGTGTGATTTTCAAGTAGATTGGCCCTGGATCGGAGTGTAATGACATCCTGCAGCAAGAATGGATAGTGTTGAGCAACTGATTATCTTAAAGGTGATCTTAAAGGACTGTTTTCTTTGAGTTGTGTGTGGATGCCTGGCAGAGGAGAGCTGTTTAAGTCACTTCTGCTTGCAGTGTGTCAACATCTGGCATTCAGTTTTTCTCTCATCTGGTGAGTTCTGTTTATGGATTGTCTCCTTAGTACAGGAAGAGTGAAAGCTGGCCTACCAGCATTTTAGCAGTTTGTTGAAAGGTGAGACTTTATAGCTACTCTCAGGGACTTGTGGCCAGCCTGGCAGCTAGAGAGGAACGTGTTAATTGAGTGGAAAAGTGGGGTGCAAGGAAGGAAAGAAAAAAGGACCCAAAGCTATGTCAGGCACTCTGTTTTGGAGGTGGATTGTAACTAATAACTTCTTCCATGCCCTAGAGGGGAGAAAGGGTTTATTGAAAAACATGTAAACCAGAGCAGATGAGAGAATTGGATTCTCTAGGTTCTTCTGGTTAAACTAAGCAGCTGAGACTACCTGGAACAATATAACTTACTGCAGCCCTCATCAGAAGCTCTTCTAAAATTACACAGCATTTGAGAGGTTGATTGTGGATGTTTTAGCCTGTAACTTGGTTGTCTGCAGCCCTGACATCATCACTGTTATTCCAAGTCCTCAGAGCAGGGTGCTCTCACTTTCATGAAGATGGATTGTATAATGGTGCCCAAGAGGAGGGACCTCTCTGGCTTGATTAACAATGGTAATGAAGGCCTTTTCACAACGGTTCAGATTCTTGATGGGGATATGATGTATCCATATTGGACTTAAACCTGCTCATGCTAGAACAGATCTATTCAATTGTGTCTGCTTGGAATAGTTTCCACCTTGTGTGTAGGAATGATATGATGCTTGTTTCCTCTCCTGTCCTTAACCAGGGAAGGATGTTTGGTGCTGAGGCTTCCTTATGCCCTGTAGGCATTTTACTTGGTATTCCTTAAAGAACAGGAGAATGACTGTTAATTTACTTGAAAAGTGAACAAATTGGAGAACTGGAGGACTAAGAGGCTATGAATTCCAAAAGAGCCTTTTAAGAATGCTTAAAAATCTTACTGCAAGTCACTGGAGCTCATGTTTCCAGTATGCAAGCCTGTGACAAGCGGACTACAGCTTTCTCTGGCAGCTTCAGAGGATGATATTAGGAAAAGTTTGTGCACTGATCTGATCTATAGTGAGAAAGGCCAAAGTGGTTTTGAGGGGAAGATCACATGCACCTTGTCAAGCTCCACTCAAAAAAGCACTTTTGGCACACTGGAAACTAAAACAGTCCTCAACATAGCCAAACTATGTTCGCTGGACAAATACCAAGCCACTTCTGCACCAGTCTACTAATGTTATCTTCATCTTCTTTATTCTCCTGCTTTAAGTTTATTCTGAGACTTTAGCAGATTATTCAGCAGGCTAAATTGTCTAACATACAATAATTTGTCTAAGACATTCAAATGGAAACACTTTTCTTTCTGCATATTGCCATTGGTTTGATTGAGAGGGGTTAGTTTTTCTACCCTTGATCAGTCTGCTCTCTTCCATATTTGATAAGACATCTGAAAACCGTGGTGACTGCTGAAATAAAAAGGTGGAGATGAAGCTGGTAGAAGGTACCCCTTACAGTTCCCATCCTTTCTGAAGGTGTGCAAGGAGTTGATGGGTGTGAGCTGTTGGTGGTGGCTAAGCATCACTAAGCATCTGGAGGACACCACCTTCTTGTCCTCCAGATGCTTAGTGATGATCAGGAGTGGTCAGCATGGATTCACCAAGGGGAAATCATGCTTGAGCAACCTGATAGCCTTCTCGGATGGAATGACCGGCTGGGTAGATGAGGGCAGCGCAGCGGATGTTGTCTGCCTTCACTTCAGCAAGGCTTTGGACGCTGTCTCCCATCACATCCTCCTAGGGAAGCTCAGGAAGTGGGGGCTAGATGAGTGGAGAGTGAGGTGGATTGAGAACGGGCTGGATGGCCGAGCTCAGAGGGTTGTGGTGAATGGCGCAGAGTCAAGTTGGAGGCCTGTAGCTAGTGGTGTCCCCCAGGGGTCAGTGCTGGCTCCAGTCTTGTTCAACATATTCATCAACGACCTGGAGGAAGGGACAGAGTGCAACCCCCCCCAGCAAGTTTGCTGATGACACAACACACCAGAAGGCTGTGCTGCCATTCAGCGGGACCTGGAGAGGCTGGAGAGTTGGGTGGAGAGGAACCTCCTGAAGTTCAACATAGGCAAGCGCAGGGTCCTGCCCCTGGGGAGGAGTAACCCCAGGCACCAGTACAGGCTGGGGGTTGACCTGCTGGGAAGCAGCTCTGCAGAGAAGGACCTGGGAGTCCTGGGGGGCAACAAGTTCAGCATGAGGCAGCAATGTGCCCTTGTGGCCAAGAAGGCCAAGGGTATCCTGGGGTGCATCAGGCAGAGTGTTGCCAGCAGGTGGAGGGAGGTGATCCTCGCCCTCTCCTCAGCCCTGGTGAGGCCTCACCTGGAGTACTGTGACCAGTTCTGGGCTCCCCAGTCCAAGAGAGACATGGCACTACTGGAGCGATTGCAGCGGAGGCCTACAAAGATGATGAGGGGACTGGAGAACCTCCCCTCTGAAGAAAGGCTGCGAGAGCTGGGCCTGTTGAGCCTGGAGAAGAGAAGACTGAGAGGGGATCTCATCAATGTGTACAAGTATCTGAAGGCGGAGTGTCAAGAGGATGGGGCCAGTCTCTTCTCCGTGGTGCCCAGCGACGGGACAAGAGGCAATGGGCAGAAACTGAACCACAGGAAGTTCCATCTGAACCTGAGAAAAAACTTCTTCACTGTGAGGGTGACAGAGCATTGGAACAGGTTGCCCAGAGAGGTAGTGGAGTCTCCTTCGCTGGAGCTATTCAAAACCCGTCTGGATGTGATCCTGGGCAATATGCTCTAGGTGACCCTGCTTGAGCAGGGAGGTTGGACTAGCTGATCTCCAGAGGTCCCTTCCAACCTAAACGATTCTGTGTGATTCTGTGTGACATGGATGAGCAAAGGAAACAGATGCCAGGAGGAGGCCCTGTGATTTAGTGTGGCCTGTTTGTTGTTTTCAGGGCTTTCATTGGAAGGTATGGATAAAGAATGTGATCAGTGGCTTACTGCTCCCTGCCCTTCTTCAGTGCCTCTGGGGACTCTGGCCCTATTCCTCAGCCAGGGTCTGCTGACAAGCTCAGTAGGTATGAGTGAGTGAGTACCTCAGCTCAGAGTACTTTCAGCTCCTAGGGGTGTTTCAGACTCAGCACAGGCACAGATAAGGCTGTGAAGCTGGATACTGGACTCGTCAGAGCTGCTGTGCTACAGCTCCAGTCCTGCCTGACCCATGGACAGTGGCATTGGCTGCAGTCAGAGCAGAGGGGAACAATGGCTGGGTAAAGGTCAAGGCCTGTCATGGTGGTACTTGTTCAGGTTGCATGATGTGGGATTACTGGGATAGAGGGGGAAAACATGGGCTATGCTGTCACCCCAAGGCCAGCTGGAGCATGCAGATCTGGCAAAAGGTGGCCTGAGTATTTAGCAATGGGTCAGC